AAGTATCGTAAAACTGCCACACCGAAAATTGTCCATAGGTGACTCTTTAAAATCTTTTACGGCTCATCAGTTTAGTGTCATCAGTGATCAATGGCCCTAAAATTATTGCTCTCACTCTGACGTTCGCGGTGATATGTAACATGTGCGGCACAATAGGTGCAATCGTCATTTTCGCACGTAGGGGCACCTGACGCATGCTTGCGTTTGTATGTGGGGGCCGGGGACTTTAAAAAAAAAAATTGTGTTTTTTTAATTACTTTTTACACTTAACTTTATTGCTATCACATAGGGGGCTAAGAAGCCAAATTACATGACAGGTCCTCTTTATGGAGACATCAGGGGTCTCTAAGACCCCTAATGTCACCTAGGGACCCCTAGAGAAGCTGGATAGTGACAGCAGAATGCGGAAGTGATGTAATTTACATCACTTCCTGCATTCGGGGACTGGAGAGGAGATCAGAGGGAGATCTCCCGTCACAGAGCAGCCGTGCCGTTACCAGCCGCACCGGATCTCGGGATCGGCAACGACAGTGACAGCTACTGCTAATACAAGCGATCGGGCATCTCTGGACACGCCGATCGCTTGAATGTAAAGCGCCAAAAGTTTGTGCAGCGCTTTACAATATAAGGAAGACATTACAATCACAATACAATTCAAGACAAGATGGTAAGGAGGGCCCTGCCCATGAGGGCTTACAGTCTAAAAGGGAGGGGCAAGTGATACATGAGGAGGTAGCTGTGTGGGGATGAATTATTTGAGAAAGTGATATTTCAGTGGTTAGGTTGAGGTGGGATAGGCTTCCCTGAAGAGATGAGTCTTAAGGGATCGCCTAAAGGCGGTCAGAGTGGGAGATAGTCGGACAGGTTGGGGTAAAAAGTTCCAGAGGATGGGAGAGACTCTAGAGAAGTCCTGGAGGCGAGCATGGGAGGAGTTGACAAGGGAGCTGAAAAGCAGGAGGTCTTGGGAGGAGCGGAGCGGACGGTTAGGGTGATACTTTACAAGGTTTGAGATGTAGCCGGATGCAGAGTTGTGGATGGCTTTGTAAGCCGTTAATATTTTGAATTTGATCCTTTGGGCGATTGGAAGCCAGTGGAGGGATTGACAGAGGGGGGTGGGGGATGGAAG